CCATCTCGTCTTCTGTCGTCCCCTTCTCCTCCTGCCTTCACACTTTCCTAACATCAGCATCGTTTCCAGGGAGTCTTCTCTTCTCATGACACTGTATAGTTTCCCCCAAACCCACAGAGGTTGGCTCTTTACATACAAGGCTCAGGGAGGAATCAAACTCCCGACCTTGGGCTCCACAGCCAGGTGTTCCAACTCACTGATCTATCTGGCCAGTTTACTTGTAGCTTAAGCAACATGCAATGACATGCTCATATACTAAATGTGACTTTGAAACTCACTCCTATTCTTCACTCAGCTGACAGGACAAGGATACCAGAGTAGGCTTATTGGTGGTGGTTCCCATATAGCTCCTTTGGAACTCTCAGAATGACACCAGGAGGAGGAGGAACTGGTAAACCAGTTCTGATAGCTTTATACGTAGACCTAGGAAAGAGCTGCCATATGTCAGAACTGAGTTGAAAGTGCACAATAATAATCACCATTCCAAAGCAGTGGTCAGGGAACAGGGGTAAATTACCCCAAATGGGGTAAAAATGAAAATCCTGGGAGTAATGAGGACGTGACCCTAACTCCCTTCCCTCATCCTCTTCTGCCCGGGGGGGGAGGGGTTTCCCGGCTGCCACAGCAGATGGTGGCCGCCAATGGGCCCCAGTCAATGGCGTACGGCAGCCGAGGTGGCAGCGCCAGCCATGGCAGAGGGCGAGGCCATGGCGAGTGGCCCAGCCGGGAGGAGCCGAGCCTCCTCTTCCAGGGCCTGGAGAGGTTGATTGCTGTGGAGGGGGGCGGGCACGGCCATGATGGCGGCCCAGGCCAGGCTCAGCCTCCTGGTGCCGGGACGCCAACCCATGCCCTGTCCCCGTTCCCAGAGAAGCCTGTCGGGCGGCACCGGCGCTCGCCCGGCTGCGCAGCTTCCTTCGGTGGCACCTCTGCACTGGCCAGTCAGGCCTGGCGGAGCCTCTCGCCCTCCATGTGGCAGCTGTTGCGGCGCTTTGACAGCGAGGCCCGTGGGAGCCCTGACGCTGAGGCCCGACGCGGCCACTCCCCCCGCGAGCAGCCACCAGTGCCAGAGGCCCGTGGGAGCCCTGACGCTGAGGCCTGATGCGGCCACTCCCCCCGCGAGCAGCCACCGGTGCCAGAGTGGGAGGCGGCATTGGGCACCCCCGGTGGGTGAGTGACCTGCTGCTCTTCGATGGCCACCCAGGAGCCACCTGCCGGCGGAGAAAGGGAGCTGCCCTTGCGGGGCCAAGGACTGAGTGCGGTCCCACCAGGCAGCGGTGGTTCGGGCATGAGCAGCAAGGCTTCGGTGGTGGCGCTCGATTGGCCACACGTGACCGAGATCCTTCCTTTCAAATGAAGGGGGTAATGTCGGTGTATATAAATTTTTTAGGGGGTAAAAGGTAAAAAAGTTCCCTGACCCCTGTTCCAAAGTATGCTAGATTGGCTTCCTTCCTTGTTGTGTTTCCCAAGGGCAAGCACCATCATTTTTATTCTAGCAGCCTTTTGGCAACTAGTAGCCCACCAAAGAAGGGGCTATTAACTAGGGAGGGGACTTTATTTTGAATGTGCTTTTAAATTGCATTTAATTCTGTTGTTTCCATCATATAATCTGCTTCATTGTGTCTTAACATTGTAATTAACTGTATTTTTTAAAGTTCTTTTTAAAATTCATATTATGAGCTGAGCTGGGCAGAGTACTGAGAAAAATGTGTGATGCACTTCTCACCTCAACAGTAACAATTTAGCTCACACTACTTTTCTTTTATTAAAGCTACTCACAATGCAGGATGGGCCCTCTGGCTGTACTGTGTCCCTGAATGTTTAGTAACATGACAAAAAGATGCTATCAAAACCCAAGAATGTTCATTGGCAAAGGCAAAGCCTTTGGGTCTAGAATGTAAGGGAGTACAAGGGAAAAGGACAAAGCAAATCCTCATGGCTATTCACGCTCCTAAAACTTTGAATGAAACCATTGCCTGGAGGTAACTACTTCCTGTCCCCAGGCAATTTTCTTAACACAATGCATATTACTGTATTTGGAAGATACTTTTAAAACCAGCTGCCCATTTGCACCATTTTAGGCGTATACACTGCACTAAGGTGCACAAGATACAGTTTACTTATTTAAATAGAATTTGCCTAGGATCTCCATGCAAAAGACAGTTAAATGAGGCGATTAATGCCACAACTGTGGCTGATGATTCTTTGCCTTAATAACTGCAAGCTACAGTCTTTGAGGATGTTCCAGAGTTTTTACATTTTATATTAGTTTGGTAGTTTCTTGAATGTAAGGAATGATCACAGGATAACTTATCCCAATAATGTTTATAATCCGAGTTTATAATACAGTATATAGGGAAGTATCCAATGGTACTCTAGTAGCTTTATGTTGGATTTGGCCCAGATTTAAAGAATAATGTGTGCAAAGTATCTAAAATAAAATACACTACAGTGCACAAGATAGTATGTGAGACATACTGATGCCTCAAACTCCTACAAAAGGGAGGGTGTTTCATCCTCCAGTGGCAGGATGAGGTGTCACCTTTCTGCATCAGAATCAAGTCACCAGGGATGAGCACAAACAGGAGGAGCATGTTTCACTTAGGCTTCCAAGCCAATCCTAAACACACCTTAGGAACACAGGAATCTGCTTGACTTAACTCAGACCATTGGTCTATCTAGCCCAGCACAGTCAGTGTTGACTGCCAGCAGCTTTTGGGGTTTTCAGGGATGAGGCTTTCCCTGACCTTTTTGGAGGCTGGCTCTTCTCATACAGGGCCCAGTGGTATGAGATTCCCTGCCCAAGTACTAACTAGGTCTTATCGGGTATGCTCCTAGCTGGAAGCACATCTCATTAAATCATGATAAAGAAATTATGACCTACCTAAGTTGTGTTTTTAGGCCAGTCACAGAGTATGAGCTGTTCCAAGTTGCTTTTCAGCTTGTTTTACAAAGTACAGTGTGGCCTCCCTACATGTTTGTATGCTGTTTGTCCACAGCCTGGCTATCTGGTTTCGCCAAGATACCAATTTTACTCTTTTTTGTCTATAACGGACAGCAGATTCTGCCTGTTGGAAACTAAATTTATATATAATTATTACAATTAAAAGTACCGTAGTAACTGTAATAAAAGTAACAATATACATTTATTTGCTTGATTTCTATCCTGCTTCTCCCAAAAGGGGACCCAAGATGACTTCTTTTATCTAAGCAAACAGAAAATACAGCTGTTCCTCCTTATGATGGATATATGCTCTCTCTGAAAGAGCCCTCTAATTAATGTTATAGAGGAGTAAGGACAGACTCATGAATGAGCACATGGGTGACAATTTCTGGTCAGAAGGTCTGTAATCTTGAAACACTTATCTAGATACTGTGATATCCCCAAAGTAGCTTACTATTTATCTTTCCTGGCTGAGAGCTGAGTTTATACATTACAATGTCTGGTTGTCAAATGGACATTTACAAAGATGCCTTTTTGCACTTACAAGATCCAGGTAGCAACTCACTGGCTTCAGACAGTAGTCATCTTCCAAGAAGATAACCAGCTATTTAAATGACAGATTTAAAAATGCCAGGGAATAAGAATAAAATGTTTAGATTTGTCCCAGTGTATTGCTCAAATAGTTACAAGGTGGAAGCCATACACAATTCTAGGCCCCAGCGGGATCCTCAGAAATGATAACAAAATCATATACATGTGGGGGTGAGTCAGAGCATTTGTAACAATAATTTTAATCCAGTGTAAGGAAATCTGGGCAGGATCAATCCTAATACTGTTCTCCTTCCGCATTCTGTTCACTATGTGGCTAAGGAGCAAACTTGGAAATCCCACAAGCAAGACATGATCTCATCAGTCTCCTTCCAGCTCATATTCCTGAGCAACCGGCATGCAGTGGTCTTGCTACCTCTGATACCGAAGGAAACAGAAACGGATGAGAACTGCTAGCATTGATCGTCTTATTCCTGGTCCAAATACCTTATTCTTTTAAGAAAAAAAGTGTCATATTTTAACCCCCGGGCCTTTAAAACGCAAAAGTCTGGGGCAAATCTCTGCGCTAGGTGGGAGGGTTCAGCCGTTGATTTACTGACAACCCCCCTTTTACACTATCAAACCCGGCACGGAAAGAAAAAACCCTTTCCTCCTCTAGGCACGCTGTCGGCCCGTGAAGGGGCAGAAATCAAGGCCCCCGCCATCGCCAGGGCTGCGTCCAGGGTCGTTGAAGGTCAGGGTCACGGAAGGAGAGAGAGAGATAACCCACCTGTGCTCTCGCGTGCCCCCGAGGTCACTCCAGGGCTGCCGCTCTTCCGAGTGTCCCCGAGGGGGTCCCTTCCCGGCCACGGCCGGAGGAATGCCGGGCACTGTCCTTTGCCTTTCCTTTCCCTTCCCGCGCGCCTCCCCCTCCCCGCCGCTCCGGCAGCCTCCCCGGGACCTCTTCGTGTCCCCTCGGCGCGCCCCACGACGTCCCAAGGTCATTCCCGCGCTGGCTTTTCCCGCCTCCGA